ATAAGTTGAAGATTCAACTGAAGAAGGAGTTCGAGATGAAGGATTTGGGTGAGGCAAAGAAAATTCTTGGCATGGAGATAATTAGAGATAGACGTTCAAAGAAACTCTGTTTATCTCAAAAGGAATATTTGAAGAGAGTACTTCAACGTTTTGGCATAGATGACAAGACTAAGCCAGTTAGTACTCCACTTGCTTCCCATTTTTCATTTTAAGCTAAGTACTATTATGTCACCAATGGATGAAGCTGAACGAGAGTATATGTCAAAGACGCAAATGCTGTTGGTAGCTTGATGTATGCAATGGTTTGCACAAGGCCTGACATTTCACAAGCTGTTGGAGTTATTAGCAGATATATGCACAATCCAGGGAAGGAGCATTGGCAAGCTGTGAAGTGGATTCTACGGTATATTCATAATACTGTAGATGTCGGGTTAGTTTTTGAGCAGGAAGACAATCAGTCTGTAGTTGGATATTGTGACTCAGATTTTGCGGGTGATATGGACAAACGAAGATCAACTACTGGTTATGTGTTTACTTTTGCAAAGGCACCAGTTAGTTGGAAGTCTACTTTGCAGTCAACAGTTGCTTTGTCTACAACAGAGGTAGAGTACATGGCTATTACAGATGCTGTGAAAGAGGCAATTTGGCTTCAAGGATTGCTAAAGGAGCTTGGTGTTGAACAAAAAGGTATCACAATTTTTTGTGATAGTCAAAGTGCTATTCAATTAGCGAAGAACCAAGTTTATCATGCAAGGACGAAGCACATTGATGTTCGGTATCATTTCGCACGAGAAATCATAGAAGAAGGTAGAGTCACAGTGAAGAAAATTCATACTACGGAGAATCCTGCTGATATGCTGACAAAGGTGGTGACTGCGGTCAAGTTTCAACATTGTTTGGATTTGATCAACATTGTTGAGAGCTGAAGATTGAAGTCGACACAATCAAAATTTAGTGATATTAAACAATCTTTATAATTTAGAAAATTGCTCAAACTTGTTTTTTTAGTGATATTAAACAGATATAGCTAAGCCTTAGTTCTATGTGGGATTCGACTCTGAACTTTTAGACCGGATTATATTTGCAGCGACCGCTTATCCTTTTTAGGACTAGAGTTGGGCGTGATCAGTCGTCCATTGGTGTCATTTTTTTCCTATACCTACACAATCAAGAACATAACCGACGTGCCAGGAGACAATATAGCCGAAGTGGTGTCATTTTTTCCTATACTTAACCGTCCTCACAATATTATGTAGACACTGCTTCGTCTAACGTGCGTCCGCTCTTTGTCCGACATATCGACTAATCTGGATTCGTAATGTGCCAGATCCTATTATAGGGGAAGCACCAATATATCCAAAAGAAAAGAAATAAAAAGGGAAAATACACATATAATAAAACTCAAGAGTATACTTGATTTGTCAAAAGATTATATATTTGGAGAAGAAAGAGAGAACATATATACTTATCAAACTCCTTAGCTGCATTGGAGCACTCCTTGAGAAAGCTGTCAACGAGGGATAGATAATCATAATCGGATATAGTATTAGTGTTATGATAATTGTCCTCTTGATAGTAATACGCTAGATAAACCATTTCCTTCCTCAACTTTTCCAGGTTTTCCATTTTGCAGCTACACAAAAGGATCTAAGTAACTGCATGCATGCGGGCCGTTCCGATATATATATNCGTTCAGCATTTCTTTCCAACGAGTTCAAGAGTTTACCACAACTGATTTAATTCTAAATCTGTTACTATTAAAATTTTGACACATGTAAAAGATCCTAGCCAAATACCGATTTCGAAGCCCTCCTCACTTTGTTGAAATCGTATTATGTTTGATTTTCGCACTCTACGTTTATTAAAGAGTAAGAAAAGTGTATCGTTAAGTGTTTATTTTGGGGAACGTGATTGACGACGTATGAAGTGTTAGTTTTTAAAAGTTGTTAGATAAAATTTTACATTGAAAATAACCGGGGATTTGCATCTATACCGGTTTTTGTGTCACGTTTTAACTTGAGTCCACTTTGCAAAAAAAATTTGCACTTACCCGTTTTTCGCATAACTTCAGTATACGAGGCTGAAGTAGCAAAGACAATCACGCAAAACTTCAGCATTCTAGTAGCCGGGCCTGAAGTTCAGCTTTAGAGCTGAAGTTTTTGTTTTGTAACTGGCGAACTTCAGCTCTAGAGTTGAAGTTTTTGTTTTGTAACTCGCGAAATTCAGCTCTAGAACTGAAGTTTTTATTTTTGTGTTTTTGTTTTGTAACTGACGAACTTTAGCTCTAGAGTTGAAGTTTTTGTGTTTGTAACTGGCGAACTTCAGCTCTAGAGCTGAAGTTTTTGTGTTTGTAACTGGCGAAAGCTGAAGTTCACCAGTTGACTACCCAACAACAGTAGCTGTAGCTGCATTTGTTGTAAAATAAACAAACTATATTTTCTGATCGAAGCACAATTGTTATTATCGCATTACCACTACCATCTACATTCCCTTGAGATATGTTATGGCATGGAAAGTTGATTATTAATAGGTATACAATGCAATTGTATACCTATTCGAGTCGTGATCCCGATTCGTCTGTCTTGTGAAGGAAAAATAGGAAGGGATTCAAATAATTATCTTTAGTTGTTACATTCAGACTCGCAAAAGCCATAGTAGTAAGATAGCAACACCAACAACAGCAGAAGAAAGAAGAAGAACATGAAGAAGAAGAAGAAGAAGAAAGCGAAGGAGGAGGAGAAAGGGTGCTGAAGTTATTTAAATAGCGGGTACAAGTTAAAAGTTTAAAAAAAATGGGTATAGGTTAAATGGGGGCGACCAAATAGGGCGCCCCGTGCAATTTTTACAAAATAATCAAAGTGGGTAATGTCATGTTATAGTCACTTAGGGAGACATTCGATAAAAAAAGTAACGCCATGTTATATCGAAGGTTAACAATATTCTTTTAAGTGATCCGGGTTTGGGAGCCTAGACCCACGCGAAAGGTGTGAGCTATAGCACATGAAAATATGAAAAGGCCAGAATTTCAGTTTTATGACCGTAAAATGCCAAAAAACGAGGAACGATCATGGTGGAGCGGTGACTATGGTTCCTTAGATTGTTTTGATGGACCAGAAGATTTTTAGGCGATCCGGGTCCGGGGTCCCATTTCCACGCGGAAGATCTGATAGCACACGAAAATATAGGAATCAGGTGGAATTCCAATTTTATAGCCGTAAAATGCAAAAAACGAGGAACGATCAAGGCGGGGCGACGACTATGGTTCCTTAGGTCATATTTTATGACCCAAATTTTTTTTAGGCAATCCGCGTCCATGGGGCAAGGCCATGCAGAAGGCGTATAGCACACAAACATATGAGAAACTAATATAATCTAATTTTATGGCCGTAAAATGCCAAAAAACAGGAACGGTCATTGCGGGGTGGTGACTATGGCTCCTTAGGTCATATTTGATGGCTCGAAATTTTTTTAGGCGATTCGGGTCCAGGGGTCCGGGACCACACAGAAGGTGTGGGCTATAACACACAAAAATATGGGAATCGGGCAGAATTCTAGTTTTATGGCCGTAAAATGCAAAAAATCGAAGAACGGTCATGGCGGGGAAGTGACTATGGTTTCTTAGGACGTATTTGATGGCTCGAAAATTTCTTAGGCGAGGCCTGGGACCACGCATAAAGGGTGGGCTATAGCACTGAAAAATATGAGAATCGAGAGGAATTCAAGTTTAATGGCCGTAAAACGCAAAAACAAAAAAATGAGGAACGGTCATAGCGGGGCGGTGACTATGATTCCTCAGGTCATATTTTATGGCTCGAAATATTTTTAGGCAATCCGGGTCTCGAGGCCAGGTCCAAACGGAAGGCGTGGGCTATATAGCACGCGAAAATATGGGAATCAGGCGAAGTTTTAGTTTTATGGCCGTAATGCAAAAATGCGAGGAACGATCATGACGAGACGATGACTATGGTTCCTTAGGACGTATTTGATGGCTGGAATTATTTTAGGCGATCCGGGTCCGGGGGCCTGAGGCCCACGCGAAAGGCGTGGGATATAGGACACGAAAATATAGGAATCAGGAGGAATTCCAGTTTTATGGCCTTAAAATGCAAAGAAACGAGAAACGGTCATGGCGAGACGGTGACAATGGTTCCTTAAGTCGTATTTGATGGCCCGAAACTTTTTTAGACGATTTAGGTCCCGGGGATTGGGTCCACATGGAAGGCGTGTGATATAGCACACGAAAATATAGGAATCAGAAGTAATTATAGTTTTATGAATGTAAAACACAAAAAAACGTGGAACGATCATGGTGGGGCAGTGACTATGGTTCCTTAAATCATATTTGATGTCCCGGATAACTTTAGACGACTCGGGTCTGGGGGACAGGACCACGTGGAAGGCCTGTGCTATAACACACAAAAATATGGGAATCGCGCGGAATTCTAGTTTTATGGCCTTAAAACCCAAAAAAGCGAGGAACGGTCATGGCGGGGTGGTGACTATAGTTCCTTAGGTAGTATTTGATGGCCTGAAAAGTTTTTAGGAGATCTGGGTCCAGAAGACGAGCCCACGCGGAAGGCGTGAGCTACAACACATGAAAATATGAGAATCAGATGGAATTCCAATTTTATGGTTGTAAAACACCAAAAAAGAGGAACGGACATGGCAGGCGGTGACTATGGTACCTTAGATCGTATTTAATGGCCAAAAGGTTTTTAGGCGATCCGAGTCCGGGGGTCCGGGACCACGCGGAATGCGTGGGCAATAATAGAACACAAAAATATGAAACTCTAGCGGAATTCTACTTTTATGGTCGTAAAACGCAAAAAGCGAGGAATAGTCATGGCAGGGCGGTGACTATGGTTCCTTAGATCGTATTTGATGGCTTGATAATTTTTAGGCGATCCGAGTCGCGAAAGGCGTGTGCTATAGCAAACGAAAATATGGGAATATGACGGAATTCAAGTTTTATGGGCATAAAACGCCAAAAATGAGGAACGATCATGGCTGGTCGGTGGCTATGGTACCTTAGGTCGTAATTGATCGCCCAAAATATTTTTAGGCAATCCGAGTTCGGGGTCTTGGGACCACGCAGAGGGCGTGGGCTATAGCACACGAAAAAATGGGAATCGGGCGGAAGCCCAATTTTATGACCGTAAAATACCAAAAAAGAGGAACGATCATGGCAGCGCGGTGACTATGGTTCCTTAAGTCGTATTTGATGGACCAGACCAACGCGGAAGGCGTGGGCTATAACACACGAAAATATGGGAATCAGGCGAAATTCCAGTTTTATGGCCGTAAAAGGCCAAAAAATAAGGAACGGTCATGGTAGGGCGGTGACTATAGTTCCTTAGGTCGTACATGATCGCCTGGAAAATTTTTAGGCAATTTGGGGGCCCATGCCCAAGTGGAAGACATGGGCTATAGTATACAAAAATATGAAAATCGGGCGGAATTCAAATTTTGTAGCCGTAAAATGCAAACATATTAGGAACGGTCATGGCGGGGCAGTGACTATGGTTCCTCAGGTTGTATTTGATGGACCAAAATGTTTTTAGGCAATCTGGGTCCGGGATCTTGGGCTCACACGGAAGACGTGGGCTAGTACATGAAAATATGAGAATCGGGTGGAATTCCAATTTTATGGCTGTAAAATGTAAAAAAAGAGGAACGATCATGGCAGGGCGGTGACTATGGTTACTTAAATCGTATTTGATGGCCCAAAAATATTTTAGGGGATTCGGGTACAGGGGCCCAAGCCCACATGGAAGGCTTGGGCTATAACACATGAAAATATCGGAATCGGGTGAAATTTCAATTTTATGGCCCCAAAATGCAAAATAACGAGGAACGGTCACGGCAGGGTAGTGACTATGGTTTCTTAGGTCATATTTGATTGCCCAAAATATTTTTAGGCGATCCGAGTTTGGGGGCTCGATACCACGCTAAAGACGTGGGCTAGCACATGAAAATATGAGAATTAGGCGGAATTCCAGTTTTATGGCCGTAAAACACCAAAAAAATGAGAAACAGACATGGGAGAGCGATAACTATGGTACCTTAGGTCGTAATTTATGGTCCAATCTTTTTTAGGCGATCCAGGTATAGAGTCCCAGGACTACATGGAAGGCATGAGCTATAACACACATAAATATGAGAATTAGGAATAATTCTAGTTTTATGGCTGTAAAATGCAAAAGAACGAGGAGCGATCAATGCGTGGCGGTGACTATAGTTCCTTAGGTCGTATTTGATGGCTCAAAATTTTTTTAGACGATCCGGATCAGGAGGCCCAAGTCCACACAGGAGGCGTGGGCTATAATACACGAAAATATGAGAATTAGACAGAATTCTAGTTATATGGCCGTAAAACGCCAAAAATTAGGAACAACCATGGATGGGCGATGACTTTGGTTCCTTAGGTCGTATTTGATGGCCTGAAATAATTTTAGGCGATCCGGATCTAGAGGCCCGGTCCCACGCGGAAGGCATGGGCTATATCACACGAAAATATGAAAATCAGAAGAAATTCCAATTTTATGACCCTAAAATGCCAAAAAACGAGGAACAGTCATGGAGGGGTAGTGACTATGTACCTTAGGTCGTATTTGATGGCTCCAAATTTTTTTAGGCAATCCAGATC